ATATCTCCTTTAGATCCCATCCCAAACAAACCCAACCCCAGAAAAGTTTAAAGGCTATAATAAGGAGCTAAGCTGCATAGTTATTGTAAAACTATTGATTAACTTAAATTAAACTACTCGTAATATCATATTATGGTTTCTATTATTAGTAAGGCAACGTAATTTATGATTATAACCTGTAGCCAAATCAATCATAAGCAAAAAAGATTAAAATTCTCTCCCACCATCCCACAGATTGGGATCTTAATTTACTCTTCCATTCAGGGTGAGACAAGCCTCTCCCCTCCCCACCACAAGCTTTTAGTGCAAACTTCAACATAAAAAAACCACAAATCTTTCTATTAATATTTGCCATAGAATACAAAAAGCAAATGAGAACATACGACCTATGAACATAAATAATGTTATCACATCACATAATCTATCTTATCAGATCACCCCACTTATTATATTTTTCTCTAGAAAATCAGATATATCTTAGTGATGCATCACAAATTGACTCTTGGCATCGTTTTTGGCCAAGCAGGATTAGTGAAATTCAAACAAAACATCACTGAAAATCATTGGGAAAATTGCTTTCATGGTTCAAATTAAACAGACAGTGGCATGCATCAAGAGAATGGACAATTGAGAAAAAGAAAACTTATATTTGAGCAAGCAGGCCATATATATTTATGGAAGAAAATATACACTCTTCTTCTTCTTCAACAGAAATCTAAACTTAATTTTCAATTCATGGGGCCACGAGTTCCACATATTAAAATGAATGAAGAGAGAGTGAGTGAAAGAGAGAGGTGTGTGGATAAAACTAAGTGGGGTGGCCATAAAAATGGTGGTGTACACGTTACGCTTGTTCATCTTTTTAGCTACTCTTTTTATCTTCACTCCACTAGCTACCAGGGCCCTTAAAGCAAGGAGTCTGGAGCCTCCATTCCATTTATTTTTGTTTGAGAATTCTTTTGTTTTATGCAGCAAGAACGATGCTGGATACAGTGCTAACATCACCACCACCACAATTTATACATAAAAAACTCTATGTTGTTAGAAATCGCACAGGCATATGATGCCATATTCCACTTTTAAATATCTCTTTACCACGTCGTTTCTAGTGCTGTAATAGTTTAATTAGTTCTATTCTCGCTTAAGCCACTAATAATAATCTCCAACTTGTCTAATCAAATAGTAATAGAATGGGATAGGCCAAACTTTTTAGCAGTGTTGAAAGTTAACCCCAAATTTAGTATTGATTTGTGGTCGTGTAAATTACCAGGAACATGAGATGGATGATGGATCCATAATCGAGATTTCTCAGTGACTAATTATAAATTAAGACAGGTATGAATTCCAATAAGATTTAATATAAGCTTTATATTACTATATTGTTTATGGCATTTGTTGGCTGTAAACAAAGTAATCTTCATGAATGCTTTACAAGATATGTTGTGATTACATGGCAGACAGACTATTTTATATTTTCACAGAAACAAAATATTAAGTCAATGCTGATAGATGTTGTTATGCCCAAAAAATCAGGGCTCACGTGAGCTTAAATCAGCAAAAACCAATCAAAATTCAGGAATGTTTTCTGCTGTCTGGATGCAGCCACGTCCCACAAGGACGAAAGGGGTAAGGTCATCGTCAGTGAAACAGGTGAACGTTAGGCTTATGAGTGGCTAGAAACTGTCCACCTATTGAAGCCCCACGCGATTTAAGGACATATCTCGTGCAAACAATCAATGGGAAGTGGGTTATGAATTGTACCACACCTGTCTGTACGCAGAATCATGATTACTAACTTGAATCCTCCAACTATAAATAGAAGGCTCTCCTCTATTTTACGGGATTGGTTCATCCACCGCTCAAAACATATACTCTCTCTCTCTCCCTCTTTCTCTCCACATTTATTTTCTCTATTGTAATCCAACTTGCCGAGTGGGACCTGATTGTAATCACCCATTAATAAAATTACAGTGGAAGTAGGATTCGCCTTAGAGTATCCGAATCACTTTAAAAATTGCTACCTGTTCAATATCTCTTTTTATATTTCTATATCACATGTGATTTCTAAGCCCGCTTAGCATTTCATACGCGTGAATAATTGATGTCAAAATCAAGCATCAATAGATGTAAAACAGTGAGGAGTTATAGTTCGTTTCATTTTCCCCCTTGGCCATAGAGAAGATTTTTGATGTCCTGACTACTGATATGATATCTCAGTTATTCTTCCCTTCTTATGGACAGCAGTTGAAGGCTGTGCTACGAAGATTTTATCAGAATATTTCACGAATTTTTAGAGTTCTCATCTTTCCTATAACACTACTGGTGCTACGTTCATAATTCTAATCTACAGTACATGTGCTTATTTGCGTATAGTAAAATAATGCCTTTTATTAACAAGTTGGCTCATGAAATTTATTTGCTTCTGTATATTTGACCATAGGCACATGCCAAGAGCCATCATGAATAGAGGCTAATACCACATTGTTAAGAGATTCATGCACTCTGTAAAAGCTTATTATTATTGATATTACGTTAGATATTAGGAAAATTCTCAGACTCATTAGTTTAAGTTTTAGACTAGGGAAAACTAGTATGATTGATTACAGGGAACCCCAGCAGGCATTTGATGCCAATATTACAATAAGAACATACTGCATGTTACAAACGTATTAAACTTTTGAAGCTCTTGCAAAATCCGAATTAATATATACATGTTCTTGGTGCTGGAGTTGACGACCACTTCAACAACAACGGGTCACGTAGACGCATTCGAGGGTCTATTAATTTATCTTTGTAATACTAGATTTTATTCTTTAAACCTAGTATATAAACTTCTTTTTCTCTTGTATGTGAGTGATAACAAATCATAAAACAAATTAATTTTATTATAACGAGAGAGGTGTGACAGTATTGCAATAATATTGACTCTGTTAAACGTAGCTTGTTAATTGGGTAAATCAAAGTCAATCGTGCGTATATTTTTTTCTCTTTACTCGATTGATATTTGTATAGGTTTTCTGTCTTAGTTTCCTATTACTCTAGATTGTTTCACTTGAGTGGGTATAATCGATGCAGTTGGGTTTATAAACATGTTTATTTTTTTTTCAAACGAAATGAGGGGAGCAAAACACAGAGAAAGGAGGAGGGGAGAATTATTATCAGTGAATATGAACTTTGTGGAAACGCTAGTTTTGGTCTCTGTTGCAAGACTACTTGATTAGTTAATACTAATTAGTTCATCATAATCTTGACACAATTAAAGTAGCATACCTTTTCTATCTAATAAACTTTCAAATTTTAATAATATATACAATTCGATTATTGAGACATTGACTTTTTAATAATCATTTTCGCATCACAAATCAAAACAGAATATCCAAAATTCAAGTATTAACCTACCATCTTGTTTAGGCAAATTCAGAAGGGTGCTCTGATGCATAGCGATTATATACATAAAAGAGAGACAAATTAATAATCTAAAGTGCTAATAACTATCTCTGGGTGACCGGGCAGCTCAATAGAGACTTTTAAATGTATTACTCAAGAAATTTTGTGTTCGAGTCTCTCCTCGGATGCTAATAGGGATAGTCATTGGAGTTCTTACTCGTCTAGTAATTCTAAGGTCTCGGGAGATTAGTTGAGGTGCGTGTAAGCTGGTTCGGATATTTCCGGTCATCAAAAAAAAAAAAAAAAAAAATCTAAAGTGCTACTTCAATTTAATTAATCTATCATCTATGAATAAATAAATCTTAATGTGCATCAATTGTTCTAGTCTTCTGAAGAAGAGAAGGTAACCCTCTTATCATTTAAAAATAAATTTCCTGGAGAATAATATCTCATTCCAACTTGGAGAAATGGTTAGTTGTATATATGACACCTAAACAGTTTCTATATATTCCCCGGCCGAACGACTTCCACCTACCCAAAGTTTGGTATAAATATAGATTGATACCCAAAAGGTTTAGAAATGACAAACAAATACTTTTTGTTATATTCTGTTAGGGATTTTTGTCTGTTAAAAGATAGTATAGTAATTTTATTCTCACTCTAAGCCCATTTGCACAGCCCTCTTGCGTCATTAATCGATTTTTTGACTGGATTTAGCATTTTTCTGTGAAGTTCAATGATAAAAATGGCACTGGCTCTTGCTAGAGCGCGTTGGGAATAGAGATCGATGGATATTCTAGTTTTTTCACCATTTTTATTTTTTAACAGATAAAAATTCCTAACAGAACATGACAAAGAGTGGGTGTTTGTTATTTCTAAATCTTTTAGGTATCACTTTGTCTTTATAACAAACTTTGGGTATGTGTAAGTGCTTCCCCTATATTCCCCTGCTTTTGACGATTTGTCTTCTTGTTCTTTATCCTTTTCCTTTCACCACTTTGTATTCATCCAGGGCCTTTACTAAAGCCAAGTGACACTCAAAACACTATCATCATTTCATCAATTTCAATGGAAAGTAAAGAAGAAGATCTAGCAACTTCCATCAAAACTTATTATTCCCCTTTATCCAATCAACTACCCAGTTGATCTTTCAGAGAGTTTACTTTTATGTCAATACTTTTTTTTCCTATAGATAGGTGGCCCTTATTGTATGAACAAATCATTTCTTTCAGATTAATTTTAGTGATTTATCTTTGATATGGATCAATCTTATAGTAACAACCACCATTAACATGATTAAAAAAATAACCCATATCAAAATGGAAGCGATTACTATTCTTGTAGTCTTGTTGATTAGTTTTGTGAGAGCTACGTCAAAATATCAAATCTTTGTTTATTCATTGTGATAAGCAAAGATAAATTAATCAACAGAGAGATCCCATGGTTAGGTTATTTTGATTATAATGGGTGACATCGAGATGCATAACAAGGTGGCTGTCACAGCAAAAGCACGCGCACACTAGTTACACATGTACGGTGAAGATGCAGAATGATGAAATTATTATAATCGCAAAAGAATTTTCACATCTTAGCAATGGAATCTCGGTTGTATAAATAAGGGTTGAGTATTGGTAGATTTTCCATGTACAAGAAAGTGTAATAGTTAAAGAGTTTCTTTTCCAGAAAAAAGTACAGAGAAAGAGAAAGAGACAGAGAAAATGAAAATGAAAATGAAAATGGTGCAAGAGGAAACCAGAAAGGGCCCATGGACAGAACAGGAAGACATTCTCCTGATGAACTTTGTGGGCTTATTTGGAGATCGACGATGGGACTTTATAGCAAAAGTTTCAGGTTTGAAGGTGGCGGGGCACACATAATAGGTAGGGTTTCATGAAGATGGGCGATTTTTGGAAGGAGCAACTTTTAACCCATGATTTTGTTGTAGGTCTCAACAGAACTGGAAAAAGTTGCAGGTTACGGTGGGTTAACTACCTCCACCCTGGTCTCAAACGGGGCAAAATGACTCCCCAAGAGGAGCGCCTTGTCCTTGAACTTCATGCCAAATGGGGAAATAGGTTTGAGAATACATAATAAAACGCACATACAATAGTCTTCATCATCTGAATTTCTTTGTTTAATTGTTATGATTTCAGAATTTTTAGTTTTTCTTCACTTTGTATATTTGATAATGACTGCATGCAGATGGTCAAGAATTGCTCGCAAGTTACCTGGGCGAACTGATAATGAAATCAAGAACTACTGGAGGACCCATATGCGGAAGAAGGCTCAAGAGAGGAAGCGAGGTGTGTGTTCGCCACCATCATCATCGTTTTCAAATATTTCTTCTCCAGCATCAACTGTTACTACTGTGGACTCTATGCAGTTCAAAACTGGAAAAGCCAGTTTTTATGACACTGGAGGCCGTGATGGTCAAGTGATGGGTATGGCCGCAGTTCATGAAGAGAATGAAACTGTTGGATACTCAATGGATGACATATGGAAAGATATAGAGCTTTCAGAAGAAAATAACTCTTTAATGATCAGACCAGTTTGTGAAGAGAATACTAGCAACTTTTCTTGTGCTTCAATAATTGCCTCTCCATCGTGGGACTATCCTTGGTACGACTCGCTATGGAGGATTGATGATTTTGAAGAAGAGAGTAAGATGATTAATAATCTCCCTAACGATCAGTTCATTTCATCCTCTAACGAATATGGAAAGGCATATTTAACTGGCTAATCAAAATTCAATTGATTTATATTTATTCATATATGAAATATTAGTATTCCCACAAGGAAGCTCTAACCAGCTGTATGCTATGGCCATGGGTTTTCTCCAAGCTTTCTGATGATAGTTATCCACTGTAATAATCCCATCTCCATGCATGACCCTCCTAGTGTATCTGCTTTTGTTTTGTGTGTCTTTTGCTTTTTCAGAGAAGAAGAGAGCACCTTATTGAATCTTCTGTGATGTTTGGAGATTTGGTATCTTCATGAATGTAATGTAAAATATCATTTTCTAAGTTTTTATCTACAAATAAGGCTGCTTCTGTACAGAGAATTAGAATTTTTCTTTTCTCTCTCTCCTTTTCTTTTGCACTGTAGATATATATTTATTCTTCAATAATACTAGATGAACAAATAAATCTTATAAAGATTTGTGTATAAACTGATGTGGCATAAAGTGAATGGATGAGTGAATATAAAAAGTTAAACTTATCGTATTCACTCTTCTATTTATTTTATGCCACATTAGTTTGTACACAAATCTGTGTAAAATTTATTTGTACATATAGCATTACTTTTTATACTTAAGCTAGATATGTTTTGCTCTGAGATGTACACAAGAGAATATAATTAAACCACCATTAATTCTCTGTCTTAAGCTTTATTCCTCCATGAATAACACTGCCAAAGATAATTTTCGAAAGTGAATGCTAGAATCTTCCAGTAGGGAAAGAATAAAAGATTGTAATGAATATAAGAATCTCAAGTAAAAGAAAAGATTCCTTCATTATTCTCCAATCTTAGGGATTTCATACAAGTACTCTCAGAAATACTTCAGTATTCTCCCCTCTTTCAACTGTTCATTTCTGCAAACAATTCTTAAAGGGAAAGAAAGAAGTACTTGTGGTTATATTAAGTTACATTAAGCTTAAAGGCTGCTCTGCTCAAGATCTTCTGTTTCTGTGGGTAGTGGTTATATCAAGTTATAATTGGTTTAAGCTTCCTGAAAATGGATACTTAGTTTAGTGCTTACCCACCCAAGTCCATTGTTTTTATTTGATTAATTCAACTGGTTGTTGATTAAGTTATGTAGTCAAGAAACTAAAAGCAACACAAACAGTTGAAATGCTGCAGAAAGGAAAGAAAAAGACTAAAGAAAAGTAAGGAAGAAAAAATGAATGGACAATATCATTTCATCAACTATGTATGATGTTGACAAGCAATTCTCCCTAAGCTGCTCAATCATATTGCAGCTGGGTCCGACCCACTAATCTAAACCCAGCTCCATTAACAGCATCCAATCCTTGAGCGCAAACAAAAAAAAAAAAAAAAAAATAAATTATTTAATTTATCTTTATCTTTTCTATAAACAATTATCATACTACTTTGGGTTTTCTTAGTTGGAAAGAATCCTATGTTAATGTGTCTATTATTATATTTATGTTATTGATGATCCAACATGATATTGTCTACTTTATAATTCAGGTCTCATGGTTTTGTTTTTTGGTTTTAGTCCCAAAACGCGTTATATTAATTTAAGGCTTATAGTCCCATGTATACACACACCCCTCTCATATTGGGACTTGTATTATTGTGATCAGGATTTATTCATCTGTGTGCTCACTGCTTACTTATAATTGCCCTCTATTTTGCTGATTGAGGTCTGACAGCAACCAGTAGAACAATATCATTTTAGCTCATTAATTTCCTTACTTATTCATGGTATAAATCCCAAGTTGTTGGCCATGATAAGTGATGAACTTGATCTTCATATAATGGAAAAGTTTAATATTGTCTACATTAACAAAAGATCTTGCCTCTGAAAGAGGCATAATTGAAAATATGGCAACAATAGGAGGCAAATCGCAAGATGCATGCCTGCAGAAAGATTTTGATAAATTTATCGTCTTCTTCCATATTTTCCATCATATCTTCCATTAAATTTATCGTCTTCTTCCATATTTTCCATCATATCTTCCATTAATAATAACAATAATGCAACCTGTGCTGTGTCAGGCTGTCAGCTGTGTCTAATTTTTTTTTTTCAACTTATGATGATTTCTTCCCTACTTCAGTCTGACAGACTGGAATAGTGGTCAGTACTGCTTAAAAGTTCGAACCAAGCCTTGGATTCGGAAGAGAAGTAGGCGTAGAGGATATTAGGAAAGATCCAAAATCTGGTTAACTACTTTAGGACGGCCCTATGCTAGAGAAAAGATAGGCTATGAAGCTATGAAAAATAGTTTCTAGCGCTTTTTAGTCACCCATAAAGACAGTAGTTAGGCTTCCTGGTGGTTTGAAAGAGATCTTAGTGCCTNAGAATAAAAAATCTTATTAATTTTCATTAAAAGATTAGTTTTTCAAAATATTCTTATTAATATTTAAGTTTCACTTATTACTTGATTAAAAAATTAATATATATTAAAACATTTATGTTAAATAATAATTTTTAAATATTTATTATCGGTGAAAACAAACAATTAAATACTTATAATCAAACATCAAATATCAAGTAAATATAAACAAATATATTACTTAATGTTTTGCACTTAATTGTTAGGGGTGTAATTGTAATTTTATAAGAGTTTATTTGTCATTTTTTCATAAAATAGGGAGGTAATTGATCTTTTCTAGGGTACCCAGAACCTGTAACACAAGTTCCAGTTCCGGTTTCGGTTCCGGTTCCGGTTCCAAATTAAAAGAACCGACCGGTTCCGGTTCCTTTGATTTTGGGCGGATACTCGGACCCGCCCACCCCTACTTATTATAATGTGAAATTTATTCTTATTTATAACTGACCCAAAATGGGACCAAAATTTTTGATGACTACATGAAAGTTATTTCTATATAGAGTATCACTATAGAGAGGTTCTACTGTATATATATTTGAAGTTTGAACTAGTCATTCACTCCAATGGAAACAAGAGTTGATATTAAAATATTAGAACATGAAAGTTGAATTAACATTTTTCGGAAATATAGAATATGATGGACCTGTTACAGAATTGACAAATACAAAAATAAAATAAAATATTGATTTTATTTATTAGAATATAGAGGAGCTGGCAAGCATGAGGGTCAATAGATTGAAAAAAAAAAAAAAAATCAACGTTGATTTCCAGTGTTTAGAAGTCTTTAAATAAAATTGCGTGAAAAAATCCAAGGAGTTGTAGTATATGTAAAGTTTGCCTATCTTGCAAGCAAAATATGGCACAATACATAAATTAATATAATCAAACAAGCAAAGTCCCACCCCACATTTAAATTGACAGCAAGTCCTATTTTTNCGTTCATAATTCTAATCTACAGTACATGTGCTTATTTGCGTATAGTAAAATAATGCCTTTTATTAACAAGTTGGCTCATGAAATTTATTTGCTTCTGTATATTTGACCATAGGCACATGCCAAGAGCCATCATGAATAGAGGCTAATACCACATTGTTAAGAGATTCATGCACTCTGTAAAAGCTTTTTATTATTCATATTACGTTAGCTATTAGGACAATTCTCAGACTCATTAGTTTAAGTTTTAGACTTGGGAAAACTAGTATGATTGATTACAGGGAACCCCAGCAGGCATTTGATGCCAATATTACAATAAGAACATACTACATGTTACAAACGTATTAAACTTTTGAAGCTCTTGCAAAATCCGAATTACTATATACATGTTCTTGGTGTTGGAGTTGACGACCACTTCAACAACAACGGGTCACGTAGACGCATTCGAGGGTCTATTAATTTATCTTTGTAATACTAGATTTTATTCTTTAAACCTAGTATATAAACTTCTTTTTCTCTTGTATGTGAGTGATAACAAATCATAAAACAAATTAATTTTATTATAACGAGAGAGGTGTGACAGTATTGCAATAATATTGACTCTGTTAAACGTAGCTTGTTAATTGGGTAAATCAAAGTCAATCGTGCGTATACTTTTTTCTCTTTACTCGATTGGTATTTGTATAGGTTTTCTGTCTTAGTTTCGTATTACTCTAGATTCTTTCACTTGAGTGGGTATAATCGATGCAGTTGGGTTTATAAACATGTTTATTTTTTTTTCAAATGAAATGAGGAGAGCAAAACACAGAGAAAGCAGGAGGGGAGAATTATTATCAGTGAATATGAACTTTGTGGAAACGCAAGTTTTGGTCTTTGTTACAAGACTACTTGATTAGTTAATACTAATTAGTTCATCATAATCTTGACACAATTAAAGTAGCATACCTTTTCTATCTAATAAACTTTCAAATTTTAATAATATATACAATTCGATTATTGAGACATTGACTTTTTAATAATCATTTTCGCATCACAAATCAAAACAGAATATCCAAAATTCAAGTATTAACCCACTATCCTGTTTAGGCAAATTCAGAAGGGTGCTCTGATGCATAGCGATTATATACGTAAAAGAGAGACAAATTAATAATCTAAAGTACTAATAACTATCTCTGGGTAACCGGTTCAATAGAGACTTTTGGATATATTACTCAAGAAATTCTGAGTTTGAATCCCTCCTCGGATGCTAATAGAGATAGTCATTGGAGCTCTTATTTGACTAGTAATTCTAAGGTTTCGAGATATTAGTTGAGATACATGTAAGTTGGTTCGGATATTTTCGGTCATAAAAAAAAAAAAAAAAAAAATCTAAAGTGCTACTTCAATTTAATTAATCTATCATCTATGAATAAATAAATCTTAATGTGCATCAATTGTTCTAGTCTTCTGAAGAAGAGAAGGTAACCCTCTTATCATTTAAAAATAAATTTCCTGGAGAATAATATCTCATTCCAACTTGGAGAAATGGTTAGTTGTATATATGACACCTAAACAGTTTCTATATATTCCCCGGCCGAACGACTTCCACCTACCCAAAGTTTGGTATAAATATAGATTGATACCCAAAAGGTTTAGAAATGACAAACAAATACTTTTTGTTATATTCTGTTAGGGATTTTTGTCTGTTAAAAGATAGTATAGTAATTTTATTCTCACTCTAAGCCCATTTGCACAGCCCTCTTGCGTCATTAATCGATTTTTTGACTGGATTTAGCATNTTGTGATAATGAAAGCAGGAGACCCATATTTTGGAGGCCCAATCCAACCCACTAGAAAGAAGGAGCCTTTCAAGTCGTGGTGCTATTAATCCTATTTGAGTGCCAACTATAGAAGAAAAGCCTTTCCAGTGGTGGTGCTATTTGACCGCACTTTGATTTTATCCTTCTCATCACCTCTTACTTTCATCTTAGGTGTGTTTGATTCAGGGAATGTTAGATTATCGAGAATATTGAATTACTAGAATCTTATATTACTTTGAAGATTATTGAAAATCTTTAGGATAA